TGAGATATGCAATTTTTTGTGTATGTCCTTTTTTTTTATTCACATTGAAATTTTGCAAAAGTAAAAATTAATTATTTTTGTAAATTTGATTATTTTATTTTTTATCAACTATTTGAAAAACTTCTAATTCATCAAATTTACTATTATTTGCTATATTGATGTTGTTATAAGTATATGGTTGGTTTATTATATAAAGACCACCAGTTGGAAGAAATTGAATGTCACAACCACCAAAAATAGGCAAACAATTAGAACCACATTGAATTGCATACTGATAATAATTTTCATTTTTAACACGGCTAAATTGTGTAGTATCAATATTAAATATAAAACTTTCAGTTGTTGCTTTATAACCACTTCCACCCCAATTAAGTGGATTATAACCACCAATTATTTGATCTGAATTTTGTATTTTACCAACTACAAGAGTTTTGTTGACATTATCACATTTTTGATGAAATGTAGTTGCATTTAAACCATCTCTACTACTGCGATATAAAAGTTTAAATTCATATTTAACTTCTCTGCGTGATTTATATGGTGGACTTTTCCCATCTATCTGACTTGCAAAAAGTAAAGTAAGCTTTTCATTAATTGTTGTTGATTCAAATTTTATGCTTCTTGATGGTAATAAGTTTAATGCTTGTTGCCTATCAGGAACTAAATAATATTGTAATATGTTCTTCCAGAGAAATTCTGTAAAAAGTTTCTGATAGGGTAGAATTTTATTAAAAAAATCATCTTTAGAAATATCCTGAAATCTTATTAGAGAAATAAATTCCTTTATTGTGTTGCCTAAATCAACAAAATTTTGTGATGACCAATTGTTAAGATCATTATTATTGATTTCTGGATGTCTTGATAATCCCCATTTAAGAACATTTTTCCAAATAATTATTTCGTTAACAGAAAAATCATCTCTTTTGAGAATTTCCAACAGAATTGGTTTTTCCAATGATTCAAATTCACTTGACTGAAATAAATTTTCACTATAATTACAAAATTCTTCTAGACAGATATTTTTCAATTCCTTAAATTTTTCATCAGAATAAATCAATTGTAGAATTTTAACTGGATTTTCCTTTATATAATCTTTATGCTTTTTAATAAAATAATTCATTGTATATTCATAAAGTGACTCAATATCAAGTTCACCAGCTGCAATTAATATTTCAAATACATCAATTCCAGTAAGATTGTCTAATTCAATTTTACATGTATACAAAAATCTTTAAAAACAAAGATTAATAAATAATATATTCAATAATAAATTAAATAAATAAATAAAATAATACAGCAATAGTTTAAACTTACTTTAGAATATTTTTGAAAAGCTTTTCTTTAATATTAGCTTTTTGAGTAATATAATAACCATTTTCTTTTGTTGCATTACTTAATGCAGTGTTAAAAAACGGACAATGAGCACATATGATGGATGCATGTGCATGAAATTCTTTTATGTTTGGTTCCACACCCACATATATTTTTACATCATAAAAATCTTCTGTATTTAATAATCTTTCATTTTCATTAAAATATTTTTCTGAAATTGTTGAATCCATTTTTTGTTTTTTTTTTATTTTCAAAAAAAGTTTTTTTTTCTTGAATTGTAAAATGAATTGCCAATCAAAATTCACACATAAATCGTGTTTCAAGAAAAAAAAAAAGGAAAAATGATTGGATAAGTTCGTTTGCATGATAATCAATGTTTATACTATATGTTTTGTTTGCCTCTTAAAAATGGTTGATGCGAAATTGGAAGCATAGTGTAGGTATGTCATTGTTAAATAAATGAACTTTATGATGTTTTGCTATCAAAATAAATATTGAAATTACTGTTTAGGCCGTACACTCTACAAGTTTCCATCTAATTCTTTCAAACATTAATTAATATCTATCGATTATTATTGATTCAATAAATATTTATTTTTACCTATTCCATTCATTTATTAATTCACCAACTTTTTTATTAAGATTTAGCTTTTTAATTGTGCGCATACACAAATCATAATATAAATTACTGACTTCGACTCCACAAAATCATAATATTTTTTCCCACCTTTGCTACTCCAGACAACGAATGATTCCTTGCATATTCATCGAAATATTCAGTTCCGTGTGGTAAATTAAAGCATTTCTATCAGTCAATATCATATAAATATTTTAATTATGATAAAATAAACTGGCAATATAATAAATTTTTAGAAGCTTATTCATTGGATTTGTCAACTCTATTTGTTACTAATTGAATATATGCAAATTTAAATTTATTAATTCCTGTAAAAGAAAAAAGAATTGATGTTTTTCTGAGACATTAAGTTTCACAATGATGACATACAATGTTGATCCAATCAGATTTACAAGTTATTATTAAATTTACAATTTAAATAGCACTTGATCAAATAATTGGCATTAATACTTTATATTTTACAAGTGTCCTCCTCCTCCTCCTTGTCATCATCATCATCATCATTATTATCATCATTATCATCTCCACTACTACTACTATTTTCTCCACCTTCTTCCGAATTATCATCTTCATCTTGATTACCTGAATCATCATTTTCATCATTTTCATCATTTTCAACATTATAACCATTTTCATCATTCTCATCTTCATCTTCATTGTTACTATCGTCAGATTTGTCAGATTCTTCATCACTGTTATTACTATCACCACTTGCATCTTCAGAATTTAATTTGGCATTATGTCTACTTAAATTTCGTCTTATTTTTTCAGATTTTTGAAGCGCAGCTTCTAAACTATATGTTTGAGGAATGATCTCTAAATTTTTTTATTAAAAATAGAAATCGCTTAAATAATATGATATAAATACAAACATATATGAATATACTTGATGTTATTTATTTACCTTTTAAAAATTTCAGATTATCAACTTCTTTGACAATATTGGCTTAAAATTATGAAAAAATATATTATTTTTTTTTTTTAAATAATAAAAAATAATAATAGTAAATCAAAATAATTTATTTTACCTAAATCCTTGTATTGAATTGTTTTTCTTTTTTCATTTTTAGTTTTATTATAACTACTACTAACTAAATATTCTACAAAAATTTCCTACAAAAAAATAAATAGATAAATAAAAATAACTCTTTAACATGTTTATAATTATATAAAAAATTATATTTTATTTCAAATATATAGACCTCTTTATACTGTGTCTGATATTAAAAAAAACATGTAATAAAAAAATATTTACTGAAGCAAGACCAATTAAAAAGGTAGATTCAGGTCCACAACCTAAGACTTCAGGTTCTTCTTTAATGATTCGTTTGACTCTAGTTAAAGGTAATAGTGTTGTGCCTGTAGCAGTTACTGCTGTTCTTTTATTACTTGAAGATCCTGAAATGTTCGTTTTGCCAGCCATAATATTTTATTAATAATTTACGCGTCTTTTTTTTTCCTTAAGAGAATAAATGTTTACAGAAAATTGAGAAAATTAGTAATTCAAGTTTTTGTGATAGATTAATTATAATTTTTAAAAATTCATATTTTATTTTTTATTTATGTAACAAATCCTAATTTAGATTTAGCAACATCAAATCGCATTGATTTTGGTTACGCGTGTAACAAACAATTATTCATATGAAAAAAATAAAAAAATAAAATTCGTTCCAATTTCAGAAAACTTGACCAGGATGAAATTTATGGTAAAATACAAGGGTATATTTTGGTTAGCAAGTAAGTATTATCAACCTAATATTACTATATATATATAATAAGGTGCTGCATTGGTTGATGCTATAGGACTCTCAACAGAGTTCATGACAAAATCAAAAACAAGATCTATTTATGGAAATGGCCATTAGGACTTGGTAAAGGCTATGGATTTTATTATGAACATCACAGATCAAGATGATCTGAGGGTGATTGAACAGATGATAATGGAAAACTATATGATTGATAAATTTATTTCACATATTATGTATGGTATTGACGATTAATTAGATTAATCATTATCTTTTAGATCAATTATTGGTGATTGTTAATTCATTGATTTCAACAAATGGATATTTTGAAACACTAAATCTTGCCGAAAAATTAAAAACTGGAATAAAATAGGTTATCCAGAATTAGATAATAAGCTGTCAGTCGATGCAGGCATAACTGTTGCAATGATATTGACGCACAAATCAGCACTATACAATAAAAATTTGGCAGTAAATAGGTGATTGATGACAACTGCTCTATTGATAATTCCATATTTTTGAGAGCCATTAAACAAACATCACAAGCAACAAAAGTAACTCATGCTGATCCTAGATCTTGTGTTGGCAATGTTATTGTTCCCAATTTAATTGCTAAAATTTTGAAGAAAATCAAAAGAAAATTATTGATTTTATGAATTCTGGTAAATATTCTGATACTGAATCTAAAAGAAACAACCAACCAATCAATAGAAAAAAAATATATTTTAAAATAAATTAATTTCAAACGTAAAAGATTCATTGACCAAATAATCAATAAAACATTGGGAAGAAAAGCTCAATTACAACCACTTTGACTGAGTCGTGAAAAACGTCATAATCATAATTCAAAGTTTCAAAATGTAGACACTTCAAATTTAAAAATCATTCAAACTTACGAGGAAAATTCTAGCTTAACATTAATGATAAAATCGATAGTTGATCGTTGCTCGAAAATAATGAAGTCGATGGTGATGATGATTCTTCCAATCGATTAGTGAAATTGAGCCAAGAAACTTTGTTTGAATATTGCTTTTCAAAATCACTTGAATCTTTAAAGCTAGACGAGGCCTCATCAATTGGATATATTTAGATAGTTCATTCATTTGGAAATATAATTAACAACAACAACAATAATAACAACATTAATTATAATCAAAATCAACTATTCGTACTGATATTTAAAATAATGCAGATTTTTTTGATACTTTTGCTAATTGCATTATCACAATTAAACGATTTACTAAAACAAAACAAAGAAACCTTTGAGTTGAAAATTAATCAATTATCAAATATATTAACGGAAAAACCTTGTGGGGGGCTTAAATTTCAGGACGTTTTGGGAGGTTATGAAATTTTATTGAAATTGATGGGCAATCTTCCTTTTGGAAAGACCAGTGAAGTCTCTCTAACGAAAGAGAATTATCATACTGAGGTATTTTCATACCAAGGTCATGAGAAGAAGCCTTGAAAGAATAGTTCCATTAAATATGACACCTAAGCTCGATATGTTAGATTTATAGCCGTAGAAAGCATTCAAAGAACTTGATAACATGTAATTATTATATAGAGACCTGGGCAGACTTGCATTCTTGTGCGAAAATTGTTTCATTTTACGTAGTATTGGTAATAATATTATTAATTTGGTGATGTAATTGTATTGTTTTTCGGGAAGATTAGATCAGGCTGAAAATGAAGGTGAAGCATTGCGAAACATTGGTTTTAGGAGCTAGGTTTATACTAAATAATAATAAATCATTTGCTAATATAATATTAATATATATATATATGTATGTATGTATGTATTCAATTATTCATCTATAATATTATTATTTTTATAATGATGCTAATACAAATGGTGTAGTTGCAGGAACATTGATTGGTACAAGAATTGGTTACTAAAGATTGGTTAGGTGGATTAGAAAATAGAACAACAACAAACAATAGTAATAGAAATAAATATTTAATTAATTAGAAACTAGAAGATTTTATTTTCCAATTTATTTATTACTTATTAATTATTATTCAATAGCAATGAAAAGTACTTTAATAGAAGTTTATTGAAACATCTGTACAATTATACAATGAAATTTTTTTTAAATATATTATCACTTATCCATCTGAATAACTGATTGATAACACATAAAAAAAAGTCATATATATGTGTGAGTATAGTTTTTAGTGAATGCGTGTGTATGTATATAAATGTAATAATAATATATTTATGAATGTAATAATTTATTCTAAATATTTTTTTAAGAATTCAATAAATTATTTTTATTAAAGAAAAAAAAAATTTTTTTAATGAAACAAAATTTATATATAATAAATAATAATAATAATAATTACTTATATTAGAGATACTTTTACTTTTTTTGCCTTCTTTAAATTAATTACTCGCTTTTAACATTTTCATAAACTGCACCTATTATCTTTAATCCTTCAGCACGTTTAACTAAAATTTCCTTTGGTATAGCAGGATCAGACAAAACACGATCACACACTTCCCGTAATACACTTTCAACTTCAAGTTTAGACCCTTTCCATAAAGCAGTTAAACCCTTAAAAAAATAAGCAATTAAAATTAAAATTTAACGTAATTCAAAATCAAAGCAAATCAAAATAGTCAAGTTGAGTCCTATTCTCTCACCTTATTTGCAGCTGCTTCTTCCAATTTATTTTTTTCCTGGGCGTCTACACCTGCTTCTTCTGCCTTTTGTAATTGACTAAAGGATTGTTGTAAATCTAAGGCAGATTTTAATGTCGAAATAGTTTCTGAAAATACATGACCTTTTTCTCTTAGAATATGACCAAGTCTTGGTAAACCAAGAATTTGTTCACCAGCCAAATATTGTTTTGCCTTAAGTGAATAGGTGAATCCGATTGCATGTAAAAGTTCCACGCCATATGATTCAGTTTTTAATTCTTCTGCCTCATACTCGACTCTTTCCTTAAACACCTTTGGATCCAACCCAACCTTACCATTTTCACCCACATATGTTGCTAATTTTTCTATTAGATTTGAAACTAATTTTCCAATGCGTTGTTGTCTAATCTTTTCTCGTTCATCATCTAGGGCATGCGAGTTGGCCGTGGAATTGGAACTTTCTCGTCGTGATTTTTCCTCCTCTGTAAGTTCTTCATTTGATACATCGTCTGTGGCTGCATTCTGTAAAACTTCTTTCATATCACGACCAATTGATATCTCTCCGATTATATCAACAAACCTTTCTCCACCAAATTGCTGTCTAAAGAAATCTTCTGGATTAACTACATTGGATTGTATTTATTATTATTAAAAAAAATTTTTTAATTATTTAATGTTAAAAAAGATTTTTTTTTAAATCATAAATTAAAATGTATTATTGATCTTACCAAAACCGCCTTCTGGCATAACTTCAGTATTTCTTCCGTATTCATTATATCTTTCTCTTAATTTTGGGTCTGATAAAACTTGGTATGCATCAGAAATTTTTTTGAACTATTGATATAGTTTTTTTTTTTCAAAAAAAAAAAAAAATAATATAATGATAAAAATAATAAAATAATAAATTTAATCAGTAATCATTAATTAATTAATTAATTCATTCATTAAATTGATCAAAAATATAATATAATATAGAATATTAATTATACTCGTTGTTCTGCATCATCTGATTTATTTTTATCAGGGTGAAATTGTAATGCTAATTTGTAATATTGTTTTTTGATCTCGTTACTTGATGCTGTTGGACTAACACCAAGTATATCATAAAGTTCAGTTTCTAATGGTTCTTTCGCTATAAAAATAAATAGGTGAAGAGTGAGTTAATCAAAATTCATACTATTATTATTAATTTCACTTATTTACATAGTCGTAAACAAAATTAGAGAGTGAGAATTCTTCTTTTAAACCTGTTCCATATACTCTTTTTGACTTCTTAGAGCCATTAGAATTTGGACTGTTGTTATTAGTAGTAGCATTACTATTATTAATAGGAGTTTCCTGTGAGAACTGAGAAATTCTTTGACAAGAATGACATTTAACGGAGTATTGAGGTGAAGCATTTGTAAAGGAAGTTGGTGCTTGAAATTCCAGCTCAGTAGAACAGTGACTACACCGCTTATGAACGTATTCTGGTTTACGAGAATTGATAACAGGAGAGCCCATGAGTATGAAGTTGTGTGTGTGTGTGTACGTAGGCGGAAAAAAAATTATTAAAATTTTATGATATCACATGTGATTTCAAAAAAATTATAACGAATTGAACGAATTGGATCAACATGATTTCTTTAAATATGAACCAATCAACGTTCTGTGGTATTTCAAATAAAAATCTTCTAATGCTTGTCCATAGTAATAGTGATAATAATTATGCTGTTGTCCCATTTCTCGATGAAATCATTAGTACATTAGCAAACAATCTCTGAAACCTTTGACATTTTCTTTGGCAATTTTACTTGATATTTAATACTCGGAGCTTCAAGATTTAAAATCTCCTTTGTCCGAAAAAAGGTTAATTACTAATATATAATACAATGGAAATTTCAAAGAATGGCCGATGGGCTGTGAATCTTCGTTTTTGAAGAACCGGCTAAATTTCCGATGCTTTTCGTCCCAACGAGCCACGAAGGGTACCGAATAGACGTTTGAATAAGCGTAGAATGGATAATTAAACTTGACAACCTAGGTTTATTTTTATTTTTGTTTTTATTTTTTTTTATTTTTTTTTTGGAGGAGTTCAATTATATACAATCGGGGATGAGAAGCATTTGTAGCAATTTCACATGAATCCAACACATTCCTAGTCAACTTTTCTAACTGCCTCACTATTTATTGATTGAAAAAGGTTAGTGTTAGCAAATGGTGGGCATAAGTGTTATCGATGAGATTTAGGAAAATCCGTTGTACCACAATTAGAATCATCACATCACATTTGCTTTCAAGAATTCATTTTCTTTCGACATATAGTAAACAGAACCAATATTCTGCTAAATCCTAGCTAATTTGAATAAAATCGTAATTATAACTCCGTTTGAAGTGTTTATATAATTTTTCTATTTTTGCAATTTTGTGATCAGTGATTTCTTAACTTTTGCTGTCCGATGTTAGTTATTTATGACCATCATTTTTTCAAGGACGTCTATAAAATTATTATAAGACTTGCCCGGAAATGTACAAATTAGATATATAGCATTTATAAATAACGGCGATAAAGTGATTTAATCAATACTTGAATTTAATCAAACAACTAGTATCAGAAAATCTTTTGGAAAAATTAATTGAAAATACAGGTCACTCCCGTTATAAGGACAGCTCATTATAGTGATAATCTCGTTATAGTGACATTTTTTCAAAAAACACACTTTATAAATATAAATTTACTCCCGTTATAATGACATTCATTATGTATCCCGTTATAAGATAATTGGGCAAAAAATTTTTTTATAATTATAATTATAAAATTTATAGTGACATCCGTTATAAGGACACGTCAGTACAACGAGAGAACCAATCAAATCACTCAAATCACTATGACAAAATTAGATAACAATAAATTCATTTTTTAATGTTTTAATATTACTAATACTAAACACACATTAAACACAAATCACTTACATCAAGTTTGTTATTATTAACACTAAAATTAACAATAATCAAATTCGCAAATTGTTTTGGTGGTGACAAATTATTATTTTCAAAATATCTTTACGTTTTTGATTGAAAATTAATCATTTTTCAAGTCATGTGATATTAGATGAACTCCCGTTATAAGAACGCCTCGTTATACAGACATTTTTTGCTTGTCCCATGAGTGTCCTTATAACGGGAGTGGCCTGTGGTTTGTTTTATAGTATAGGCCCGGTGTTGCCATTTGATTTTTTAATATTGTGAATAAAAATAAAAATTTTTAATTTTTATGTTTATAACTCAAATACATTCATTATCAAGATATATTTTATAAAACTCGTCATGCAACAGCATAGATCAAGTCGTTAAATCACGTATTTAAAATTTTTGTTTATTAAAAATATATTGTGAAAATATTTCCCTTCTGCTTGATTATAAATTCTCCATATTATAAATAACCAATTTCCTAATATTATCTCATGTTTGTAGAATAAAAAAATTACTTACATTGTAAACACCATGATCAAAATTTGGTATTGCTTTGTTGGTATTTTTTCTTGAATTTCTTCTTTATCTCTTCTATTAATATTAAATAAAAGGAATTAATTTCGGAACTTTTTTTTAATGTTGGGATTTTGGTCAGAACAACTGTTTTGAATAAGAACGGACAAACTGGTCACAACGACCACGCCGCCGCCTCGGAGGTGATGTCTTCAGCAAGGCGCGCCTACGCTAATGAAGCAAAGGCAGTCAAGCCAGTTACAATAAAAACCTTTTGCCCCCCAAATCTTACTATTCTAAAAAAAAAAACAAGTCCGGAGCCATCATCTCAACAATAAATATTAAAAAAGAATTTTTAGAATATCAATTTATAAAAAAAATGGTTTAATTCGAATCGAACAAATCCTTTTTTTTTTTAATTCGTTCGAAGCCTTACTCTCATGCAAAGTGTTCAGCGGTACATCATGTCAAAAAAAGTATGCCAAAAGAATGTTGACAATTTATGATTGAAGAATTCCTCAGGAAACAATCAAAAATATTGTTATGTTTATGAAATGGAGATGGTGATATAATTTATTCTAAGATTAATTATTTTGATTATTTTATTTTTTATCAATTATTTGAAAAACTTCTAATTCATCAAATCTACTATGATTTGCTATATTAATGTTATGATAATAGGATACATTTATATAAATACTACCACCTGGAAGAAATTGAATGTCACAACCACCAAAAACAGGCAAAAGAGAGCTACCACATTGAATTGCACATTGATTATTTTTAGCATAGCTAAATTGTGCAGTATCAATATTATTTCTATTACTTATATTAAATATAAAACTTTCGGTTGTTGCTTTATAAGTAGATGTTCCATTCCAATTAAGTGGATTATAACCACCAACTATTTGCTCTGAATTTTGTAT